GGCGAGCGCGCTACCGCTTGAGCCACATCCCCAGCCCTACATTTATTTCTTATGCAGATGGGTAGCCAGCCAGTTATCCTGCTAGGTACCCTGGCTTGACTGCTGGTAACCTTTAGATAGATGAGATTATATGAAGTCTGACCAGAACACAGGAGACTGACAGAGTATACAGTCTATAATTCAATTAATGCTAAGTATTCAAAAAATTCATTACCTGAGTAAAACAAATGTCAACTCCAAGAAAATACAAAATACTGTACAACAAAGCACAGTATTATGCTATATATTATATACAAATATGTATTTACATAACATATCTTATAAGGCACCTCATGATTCAGGAATAAACAAGGTTTACAGAGTCATAAATCCAACCATAAACCAAAACTATATTTTAACTGTAATGAAAGTGGTACTTCCATTAATTGACAATAATTGACAATGAGAGAACTGAAAAAGTCTATATGCATGACTGAGACATACGGAGAAACAACAAATAATTCTTAAAACAATGAAGTCGCAAGTATCTTAGCAATACAAAAATAAAAACAAAGAATTGTAATTGGTACCTCTGCAGAGCAAGCAATGAGGGGCACAATTGTTTTACTTACTAAGCTTTACACAACCATTGATTCTTGGATCAAGACCTTGAAATTATGTTTCTGACTATGAGAGAAAAGAAAATGAGATGTAAGGATACCAAAATTCTCAATAGTGTTTTCCAGGTTTGAGAAAAATCTGTCTCTGGCATACAGACACCCATGGAACACAAAGAGCTGTGGATATACCATGTGTGAGGGAGAGTTTTGAAATTATTACCACTGACATATGATGTCAAGCCAATGAGAAAATGCAAGGCAGTTTCTAAAATCACTGCACATACATCTCAGTTCTTGCCAGGATTGCTAGGTAATGTGAAAAATTTAAATCCTGTGCTTTACTGACAGGTATAAAAGACTAGTGAAGGTAGAAGGACTTGATTCAAAATTATTATAATAATGTAGAAATAAAATCACCTAATAACTGAATCTGCTGATTTAGCTTCTCTACTAGACAAATGTTTCAGGATCTATTCATTCAGGACTCAGTTTCAAACTGCTGAGACCCTGAAAGAAACAAAACCAAACCACTTAGTGTTCTCCTTCATGATACCTTAAATATAATAATGAACGCAAAAGGCTCCTCTACTATGTGACACCATACCTGCAGAATTCTGTCCTGGGAAGCTGGCGTTCGGGGTGTTCTAAGAGCAATGCTATTGTTGGTGACATTGTACTCAGACAAAAGAGTACTGGAAGCAGAGTTTGTTATGCCAGATTCCTCAGCAGTCTGACGTGCAATTTCACTTGCTTGGCCTACTTTTACAACTTCCTGAAGTTCTGCATCTGAAATCTAAAAAGACACAATTATCACAGTAAGCAGCATTTTAACTGAGGACCAACACAGATTAAAATTTCCATATTCTAGAAGATGAATTGCTGAAGCTGTATAGAATACACAGAGTCACTGCACCATCACTAACTTTTTTGACTCTAAAATTTCTATTTTTGTGCACGCTTGTAATCCCAGCAGCTCAGTGGGGCTGAGATAGGAGGATCACGGGTTCAAAGCCAGCCTCAGTAACAGTGAGGCATTAAGCACCTCAGAGACCTTTATCTAAATAAAATACAAAACAGGGCTGGAGATGTGTCTCAGTGGTTGAGTGTTCCTGCGTTTAATCCCCAGTACCCCCCGCAAAAAAAAAAATTTCTATTTTAAAAATTTTAAAAGCCTTTCCTACACACCATGGGGATAAAATTCATCTATGATACAGAATCAAGCTACAACAGCTATATTTCCATACTGAAATTCTTTCAAACTAATATGCTTATGTACCAAGAACATAAAATAATAGTTTTTGTACAAAACTATCCATATGGGAAGGAAAAAAACCATATAAAAATATCAGAGAGTCTACTGAATCACAAGATCCTTAAGAAAATCTAAAGGTAATTTTGCCAAAATAAATATTCTAAGGGGTGTTAAGGGAAAAATTTCAGACAAAATTAAACTTAAAAATACTACTAGAAAGAGCAACATATGACAAAATTCAATTATGTTCATGCCCACAAGTCTTTTGTTGAGGCAGCCAAAAGACTTCTGGGGAAACAAACTCTGCTGGTCTCCTAAGTCCTTACCTCTACTCCATTAAACCTGTCTGATTCTGAAGAGCTATACTACTCAAAACAAGAGGTTACTCAAAGTTCCCATGTTTCTGACCAACTATTACTAAATCAAAGGACTATAATAAACTGAATGAGGAAATATTTGTATTTCTCTTTTCCACAATTCCCACACTGACTTTTCAGAGCTGTTTCTCATACACACACACACACACACACACACACACACACACACACACACGCATGCACGCACGCACATACACAAAAATATTTTTAGTGTGTGTGTGTGTTTCTAAGATATAGATAGATACAATATAAACTTTATTTTTTTAATGTGGTTTTGAGGATCAAACCCAGTGCCTCACAAGTGCTAGGCAAGCACTCTACCACTGAACCAGAACCCCAGCCCATTTCTTTTCTTTCAAAAAGAAAAACATGATATAACAAAACACTCCCTGAAAGAAAGCAGCCTGAATTTCACCAAGCCAGACCATACCTATCCTGATCAACTACAAATAAGTGGCCAAGAGCCATAGCTGGTGACAAATTGCTGAGTGTTAACAACTACTTATTAAACCATCATGAGCAGTTTAAGACTTCATATAATAACTTACACAGAGAAACTGTTGCTTATTTATCATATTATACCACAATAATTTATTGTTACACACGTGGCTCACTCATACACTAATTTCTTAAGGGCACTTATAACAAGCCTGAAACAAAGGTCCTCAAATATTTGCTGAATAAATGAAATGAGCATATAAATTCATAAAATAAAAAAACTATTTTTATCAGATTACCTGAGGAGCAGGAAGAACTAGTTTGCTTCTCTTTTTAGTAAATTCAGAAACACCACTAGTTTGAAGAATAGCTGATGGCAAATCAGATTCTTTTTTCCTTTTCAAATGTTGTTTGTCTTTTTTTCTATCTCTTCCTTCTTTTTCACTATAATGAATCAAGATAAAGAAGAGATTTTAAGTTATACCTTGGCAATAACAGCAAAATCCATTTAATTATTCATATCCTTTGAAAAACAATCTTATTTCTAAAGAAAATAACTTAAAAAAGCAGAAATAATATACACAAGCTGTTAGTATATTCAAAAATGAAAACTCAAATAGTAATAAAATTATTAAGGGGATACATTAAGTACTAAAAATTAAAACATAACCTGAAGATAACATAACCTGTGATAACAAATATGCAAAACATCACATATAATGGCAAAAAAACCCACAATTCCTATATTGTGATTATATTCATATAAAAATATGTGTGCACATAAGATGAATGCACAAAAAAGGAACAGTAAAGGAGATGAAATAAAAACATGAATTTTTAAATTTCTCCTTAATATTGTTATTAAATTGTTGATTTTTAAAGTATACAATTTTTTAAAAGGGTATTACTGAAAAACACACCCAAAAGTTATTAGAAGCCTAAAGCCAGGATCAAAGCAGTCTTTCAAAGCTCCTATACCTTCTTTCCTTCTGCCTGTTTTCTTTTCCCCCCAGCTAGTCTACTCCTTCCAAACGATGAGTTTTCCTCTTTAATCTCTTTATTCATAGGGCCCATAAAGCAAGGTCCTGCTTTGAGAAATATATACAATCAAGTACATTCAAGTAAATCCTATTTTACAGTGGCTGATATCTGCTTAGGAACCGTTCATGTAAACAGAAATGGAAAGTAAACAGAGAGAAGCAAACAAAAACTTCTTTGACAAGTATAAAATATTCTCCCTATAATAAGCAGATTTAAGATTTAAGAAAACTTTGTAAAAAAAAAAAACTCTTAAAAGTAGGTGAAATGGGGCTGGGGTTATAGCTCAGTGGTAGAGTGCTTGCCTCACACGCATGAGGCACAGAGTTCAATCCTCAGCACCACATAAAAATAAATTAAGATATTGTGTCCAAATAAAGAGGTTTTTAAAAAAAAAAAAAAAACAGATGAATCCTCTGTACTCTAAGACATAAACATTTATAAATATACATACTTAAGTGGGAAACTTAAGAATGGAAAACATTGGTAAGTTTTTTCTTTTAATTTCATTTTAATAAAATTGGTAAAGTTTTTACTCAAAAAAAAAAATACTAGTCCAGATATTAACAGATTTTTTTTCAGGCTATTAGTAAATCATCTGATTTGTCCACAAATGTACCTAAATGTTAAGATGTGATTTAGTGAGTAAATAGTCAACTAAGACCTGGTTGTGGTGCTGCACACCTATAATCCCACAGACAGGAGGCTGAAGCAGGAGAATCTCAAATTCAAAGCCAGCCTCAGCAACTTGTGAGACCCTCAATTACTGAGACACTGTCTCAAAATAAAAAAGAAAAACAGGCTGGGGGTATGGCTCAGTGATATTCACCCCTGGGTTCAAATCCACAAAGAACCAACAACTATAAATCAACCACACAGCATTCTGTGCTAACAAAATGAGAGACAGGGTCACACTTGTTTTCTCAGAAAGGTGAACACATTACATAAAAACAGCATAAGCAGGCCACATTTTGCTAAATCATAAAAATTTGGCTCTGACAATAACAATACAAAATTCCCATTATACCTTTCTATTTCCAGATCAGAAAGGCAACTTACGACTAGTATGGCATTATGTAAAAATGTGGATGTGTAACCAATGTGATTCTGCAATCTGTATTTGGGGTAAAAATGGGAGTTCATAACTCACTTGAAGCTAATGCATGAAATATGATATGTCAAGAGCTTTTAAGGTTTTGAACAACCAATTAAAAAAAAAAAAGAATTAAAAGTGAAAAAAAAAAAAGGCAACTTACGATCTTAGCTCCCCATCAAGATCCTGTTGTCTTAATTTCCTAAAATCTGCATCAAGGGACTGGTAGTTTTCCTCAGAAGTATCATAAAAACCAAGAGCAGGCTTTTTTTCAAATGGGATTTCAGCATTATAATCAACTCCTCTCTTCTTTTTTCTTTTCTTCTGAATTTCTATGCCAGCTGCTCGAAGTTCTCTTCTTTTTTGAAGGGCAGCAAGACGCCTGAAGAAAAAGAATACAAAATCACCTTGAAAATCATGTATCATGGGGCAAAGATGGATTATCCAACAGAGTTAATTTGAGATAGAAATATTTATTGTAAACCTTCATCTCATACTGTTCACCAAAACAAATCCCAGTTTTGATTTAAAGGTGTACACACACATATATGCACATAAAGCAACATGAAAAATCAGAAGAAATGACATGTAATTATGTATCCTATCTCTGGATAAGAATGTACTTGCTCAATATAAATTAAAGTCAAAGAAAAAGATCAACAGATTTAAGATCTAATTTTTACAACAGCAGCACTATAAAAACCAAAAATGAAATAAAAAGGCAAATTATAGGAAAAATATTTGCAATTAATATTAGAAATGATTAAATATAAAAAGTCAATGCTCCAAAGGGTGGGGGAGAACAAATGAAAATAACAAAGTTTTATTTGATAAAGAATCACAAATTAGGGGCTGGGGATGTGGCTCAAGCGGTAGCATGCTTGCCTGGCATGCGTGCGGCCAGGGTTCGATCCTCAGCACCACATACCAACAAAGATGTTGTGTCCGCCAAGAACTTAAAAATAAATATTAAAAATTCTCTCTCTCTCTCTCTCTCCCCTCTCTCTCACTCTCTCTTTAAAAAAAAAAGAATCACAAATTAATAGGCACCATTTGTATATCTAATTGATACCATCCCACTTATTTTAGTGAGAAAGGTATAAAAAGTAGAAAGCCTCCCAAAAAGGTAATGAGAAAATAAACTGGGACAGCTTTCTCCAAAACAAATTTAGAAATATGTATTAAAAGCCTAAGGTTTTTCATACCCAGCAATTTTACTTCTTAGCCTCTAGCCTAAGGAAATAAATCAGAACATGAGCAAGGACTTAATGAGAAGACTGTTCGTAACAATAGATAACTGGACATAATCTAAACATCCATCAATAAGAAATTAATTAAATGAATCTGTAACATGCCTATAAGACAGGATATTATACAGCCATCTATGTAACCTTTAGAAAGGACATACATCTCCTCTAACAGACATGTCAAGAGGCCTAAGTGCGTAAAAATTGTTTACACACTAAAGAGCAACATGGAAAAATTACCTATCAGTGAATATGGGGATGATGTGAAGGATGTCCACCAAAATTTAACCATGATTGTCAGTGAAGGTGGAATTCCATCTAAAAAAGAAAACTTTTTTTCTTTGAACTTTCCCATGATGCTATAACTTTAATGATTTAATGACAAGAAAAGTTGCTCCAAATATTAAAAGGAAGGAAAACAAGTCACAAAACAGTATATATAAAGGTGACTCCTAGTGTGAGTGCATGAGGAAGTCCATAAATCCCTATCCCCAAAGGCAGTGATGAAAAAAACAACCAGAGCTGGGGATGTAATTCAATGGATAGCACTTGGCTAGCATGCTCAATGTCCTAGGTTCAATCCCCAGTACCACCAAAAACAAACTAATCTTGGGACTACAGATGTGGCTGGCTGGTAAGGCACTTGCCCAGCATGTGTGAGGCCCTGGGTTCAATCTCCAGCACCACAAAAGAAAAACAACGACAAAAAATAACCAATTAAAGTTCTGAAAAGGATCTTAATGAAATATGGCCAAAAATATAAATTTAATTCAAGAAAATTTACTTAAACTCAGCAAGAAAGCAAACAAAAGGGGTCAGGGTTGTGATTCAAGTGGTAGAGCACTTGCCTAGCATGTGTGAGGGACTGGGTTTGATTCTCAGCACCATATATAAATATATAAAATAAAGTCCATCAACAACTAAAAAAATATTAAAAAAAAAAAAGCAAATAAAAGTATAGCAGCTGAAAAGAAACCCACTGTCTCCTACCCCTCCAGCTCAAGGAGAAAGAAACATCATTCCATACAGCCAAGAATGTAAGGTTCCCTCTTCCTACCAGCTCCCAGTGTTAGGGCTTTCACTTCAGGAAAAGCAGGACATTAGAATTTCTTACCCTGCCACCAGACACCCACTTGCAGAAGCTGAATACCATCAAGAATGACTGAGAAGTAGAGCTCCCCTGTTTCACCCATACAGTGCCACCTTGGGCAGAGTATTGCTTAGACTACTACTTGCCCCAGCTTCTGGGATGAGTGTTCCATGCTGAGAAAGACAACATAAGGAGAACTGGGCTACTACACATCACATCATGCTCCCACTGCCCACCAAGCACTCAGTTCATAAAGGAGGAGTGTCACTCAGACACTTGCATTGTCAGAGCCCTGGGAAAGAAGCAGGTCACAGAACAGAAGAGCTTCAAATCTCCTTCCAAAGGAAATTACTTCATCTGTAGAGTATAGAGAAGTTCTAATCTAAGGATACTCTCAAAAACAGTGGCAATTGTGGTAAAAGGCAATTAGTAAACTAACAAATTTGGGCTTGGGTCGTGGCTCAGTAGTAGAGCACTTGCACTGGGTTCTATCCAGCACCACATTAAAAGAAAAAACTATATAAACAAAATAAAAGTATTGTGTCCATCTACAACCAAAAAATGTTTTGGTTTTTTTTTAAAGAAAGAAACTAACAAATTCACTGGAGATATAGGCACAACTATAGGCCCACTAGTTGGCCAGAGAGAAACTGAAAGAGAAAGCTGTAAGGAACCCTCCTGGAATCAGAACAAATCTTCAACACTGATTCCAGGTACTATCCCTTCAAAGGAGCCCAAACTGACCTGGATCAGGCTGTGGAACAATTTATACCCCAGGACACTGCTAAAAACAATACGCACACAGCTAGGTATAGTCAGGGAAAGAGATGTCAAAGAGATCCCTGCCCAAAACAGGCCATCCCTGAAAACATGGGCATATCCAAGATTGCCCTCCCTAAGAAGCAGCATCAGAGGCCACATTTCTTGCCAGGAGGGAAGGAAGCAGAGAACAGACCACTAAAATAATGAAGTTGGTTCACCAAACAAATAAGCAAGCAACTAACAATAAATAGAGATAGAAAGGGGCAGTACCCAGAATTGCTACAATATATCAACTAAAATAAATGTCCAGTTTCCAAGAAAAAAATTAGATAAACATTTTACAAAGAAACAGTTACAGGACTGGGGACATGGTTCAGTTGGTAGAGTGCTTGCCTCACATGCACAAGGTTCTGGGTTCAATCCCAGCACCACAAAAAAATAAAATTAAAATAAAAAATAATAAAAGTTTGCACTTGATTAAAAAAAAAAACAATTACAAGAGAACCAAATAAGATTAACAGCTGACCTCTCATATGTATAAATGTAGGTAGGTTTATGTACACATAAAAATACATCTATATTGAGAGAAAGTTTTGGAAGAATATATTCCAAATATTTATCTTGTCCTTTAAATATGGAAACAAAGACTTCAAATCACATTAGAAAACCTTTACCACATATTGTTAATTGAATATCACAAATCCTTATAGCAAATGCATATTATACCAGTCATGTCCTCAAAATATAAATATTAACAGGTACTAGAATTAAAAGCATATTACTTTCACAATCAATAAAAACGCTTTTAAGTTATTAGACTTGTAATTTAACATTTAAATAGTCCTGCATGCACTTTGCATACAAGCCAATCCAACCTGTATGTACAACACAACTTAGAAAAATGTGTTCATTCTACAAGAAAACCTTCAAGAAATTGTAGAGTTAAAATCTGCAAAAATATATTGAAAGCAATCAATGTTAGCCAAACTTTGATTTTTCACAAGTGCATATGCTATAACCCTTGCCCACCCACATGGCTAATAGGCTCTAAAAATTAGGTCTCCCAACAATCTTCCAAACAATTCTTCCAAACAAAAATGGAAAAATAATTTTTTTCAACTTTACATTCTTAACCCTAAAAAGTATAAAGCATAGAAAGTGGTAGAGCACTTACACTGGGTTCTATCCCAGTGACTGAGGCCTAATAGAAAATTTGGCTACTCTCTGGGCTTGTGTTCACTATTCCAAGCCAGTCATTCTCCCATCAAAAGTTAATTATACTAGACTAGTGACTGGCCAGCTATGCCAAAGCATAGCATCCTCAGTAATGAAATAATACTCTATCTCAGTATATGGCACTTCAAAGCCATTACTGATGAAACCATCAACACAATGATATTCACCATGTCAGGAAGTACTTCCTGGCTAGCTTGAGGACCACAAAAGGCACTGTGAAGGCTAGGGAGTTACTCCAATGCCTGAATCCCAAAAGTTAATAAGCCGTGATACAGTCCAGATGGCCTATCAACTTCATCTTGGTTTCTGGGCCATGAAGAATATTAATTATAGATTTACCAATAAAAAGCAAACCGAAGAAAGTGGAACAAAATCACAAAATCCTGAGTAAAAGACAATGCCTAAGATATATTCACTCATTTTTTAAAATTACAGCTTTACAGATGTATGTAGTAGTTGGGTACATTCCAGCAATCTCTAACGTGCATGGAAATTGATTTCAGTTCATTGTCCCCTGACCCCTGCTTTTCCCTCTTTCTTTTCTCTTGCCACTCCCATTCTCCTTTCTCTACTCTTTCTTTAATTTATATTTGACAGGTCCATTACATTACCCTATCCTTCCCTCCCCCTTTTCTTTATTTTACTCTAGCTTCTACATATGAGAAAACATTCGACCTTTGATTTTCTGAGTTTGGCTAATTTCACTTAGCATGATATTCTCCATTTCCATCCATTTACCAACAAATGCCATAATTTCATTCTGTTTTATGGCTGCATGTAACTCCCTTGTATATATGCCACAATTTCTTAATCATTTCATCTATTGTGGGCATCTGGGTTGATTCCATAATTTAGCTAATAATCACTAATTATTTAACGAAGATTTCTACAAAAGCCTAAAATTTGGTTCAAGGCTTATGTACTCCATGCTCAGCCAAGTTTCTTATTTCATAGTCAGTGCCCTACTAAGAAAAACCAACTGGCAGTCATGAAAAAGTTAGTCATCTGTGTCCTCCAGTCACTTGATTCCAAGATGCTGTAACAGATTGAAGCTTTGGTATACTAACAGATCAAATACTAGGTTAACTGTGCATTACTTCCAACATGTCTTCAAAAATTTTTAAACACATATAATGTTTTTCTGTAATTACTCTAAAATGGTTGTTGGGGGGAACAGCAAGTTTTTTTAGAGTAATAAAGAAGCAATATAGAATAAAGGACAAGTAAGATTATTATTCACTAAACAGCACTGATAAATAATCCAATTTTAATGGGCTTAAGAACGAACAGACCATTTATTAAAAATGAACTGAGAAAACCACACCTTGCTTCTTCCAATTGTTTCTCTCTTGCTTTCCTCTTGGCCTTCTTTCCCTGAGTATTAGCCAGGCGAGCTCTAGCTTCAGAAAGCATCTCAAGTTCATCTGCAAAAACAAAGAGAACAACTAAGATTCTTTCCAAGCAAGGTATGTTAGATATACCCTAGTGCTTAAAATAAGAAAAAAAAAAAAACAAAAAAAGAAACATAAATACGGTGTAGCATAAAGGAGAAACTAGGTTTAAAACTAGGTTCAACACTTGCTAGCTATGTGACCTTAGTCACCTATTTACCCTCCTTGAGCAATTCCAACTTTACAGGACATTAGGTTAAATAGTTAATAAGCAGCAAACGTGGACCTAAGTCCAATTCCTCTGATTCTTGGTTCAATGTCTCACAAAATCAACAAAAAATCTCCATCACAGTCTTATGGTATTGCCTTCTCACAGAGATTAAATGATCTGTCTAAAGACAAAGAAGAACTGAGGTCCAATATCCTGACCTGTTGGATAAAAGAATGAGAAATAGAACCTCATACTTTTGGGAATCTGCACAGTTTGGTTACACTGCTTAAGATATTAAATGAATTGAAAAAATGGCAGACAAAAGGAACTATCCAAAAGAACAACTATTCTATAATAGAACAGACTAGAGATATTTGAAAAGATACTTACAATAACAACTAATAATAGAATTCTGAAAAGTCACAAGAGTTCAGAAAGGAATTTTAAAAGTTTAAGAGGCCTGAGGAGTCTATAGTTAATGAAAGAAACTAATCTCTCACAAGCATACACTCACCCTCATCCATATCAATTGGATCAGGCCGTGCTGGTTTTGTTTCTGGATTTGGATCTATTTCTCCAGGTTTAAGTTTTCGTGGATCATCTGTTGTTTCCTCTTCATTGTCTCTTTGGGCAGTTTTGTCCCTAAAAAAAAGCTCGGATGAGTTACTCAGAGTTATCATACCACTTGGTTCTCCTTCCTCACCACCAAAAAATAAACAAAAAATAAACAGCTTTACAGATGTATGTAGTAGTTGGGTACATTCCAGCAATCTCGAAATGCTCAATAAATGAGCATTAATAAAGCAATTCTGTCACTGCTTCATCTGAAATAAATAGTATTAAAATTCTCTAATTTCAGAGTGCTTTAATTCACTATAAAACAGGATCCAAGCAGCCCCTTAATTGCAAACACAGTGCAGCCATACAAACACAAACACCAACAAAAACACAAATGCTCTAATAGTTCATTCTCAGCAGTATGATCATGGGTGACTTTCATTTGTTCTTTTGCTATTATTTTTTTCCCCAAATTTTCTATTATGAACATGTATGACCTGTATACTTTTATTCTTTTAAATAAAAAGTGTACACTAAAAGACATAGTTTTAATCAACCACATGACATCTGAAATATAGAGCCCAACAGCTTTAGCTCTTCTGATTTCAGTCACATCTATAATTAAAACTTAAAAGACAGGAAATGCTAAAAGTTTGTTCAGTCTCATTAACATATACACATATTTTAACTGATTTTGAATATTTGCTTACAGGAGAAATTCATAGTGTTCCAAGCACTGGGCTGCTGTTCTTCCAATTATTGGAGCAATAGTCCTCCACTGAGTTGGCATCAACTTAGCCAAGTGCAAGAGTTTTTCCTCTTCTTCTCTGGACCACTCTGTTTTCTTAATGCTTGGATCCAGCCATTCATACCTATTAAAAAGATAGTATTTTATACATTAATCACCTACTATAAATATCTAATTTCCACACTAGATACACTGACTTCTACTATTTAAAAAACATGCTTTCAACCTTCAATTACTAAAGTGCATTTTTTTGACAAACTTAAATGGCATAAGTTTACTGTGTAGAAAACTTATGCCATTTAATATTCTCCATCTTACTACATTCTACTGTATTGTAATTATGTAAGATTCGTAATACTTTAAAAAGGTAATTTGGGGCTGGAGATGTGGCTCAAGCAGTAGCGCGCTCGCCTGGCATGCACGGGGCACTGGGTTCGATCCTCAGCACCACATAAAAATAAAGATGTTGTGTCCACTGAAAACTAAAAAATAAATAAATTTTTAAAAAGGCAATTTGACTGAAACATGATCATATGCCTTCTTTTTCAACTCACTTGTTTTTATTTATTTTTTTACTAGAGATTTTGAAATTATTTGGAAAAAAGACAATACTACCTCATTTTTTTAGTGTTTCTAGTTTTCACAATACTTCCCCATAGTCCACAAAATGTTGGCTTGTTTCTTTAAGCATTTCATTATACCCGCTAACTGCTGTTTCATTTGTTTGGTATGCTTTTAAGTTTAAATAAAATATTATGACATCCTCTGTCTTTTCTAATATACACTCAACCCACCTTTTGCATCTAGTACTTCACTAGATGAGAGGCTGGCAAGTAAGACATAAGTCCTCACAACCTCTAGAGCAAGAACTTAGTGCCACTAAGAGAAACAGAAACCCAAACCAAGAACCATCTACCTCTGCAGTCAAATTTCTACCTTCTGATCCTTTCTTATATCCAAATGCCTAGGAAATTAAGTCACTTCGTACAACCAAAGTTTCTTTCTGGGAGCGGATGGGTAGAGTCTGGGATCATATCACTCATACCAAGAACAAATATAAACAATTTAATGCAGCCACCTCCCTGCAATTTAAAAGGTAACACCATAGATATAGTATTGGCCTACATTGTATTTTAGTGTAGAAATATATAATATTTCAATTCTGTTATGAGAAAACTCAATTATTGTAAGTTTGTTCAGAAAATTAACCATTATATGTCATTTTTTATTTCTTTGTGAAAATAATTCTTAAAGCAACCAATTTATAAACTTTTAGGACACAATCCATTTATAAGCTGGGGACCATCTGTCCTTAAGATTTTATGCTTCACAAAGTGCTCTCAAACACATTAACACATTTAAAAATGGAACTTTGATCTCCATCAGTTAGTTTTAAGTATTTTTATCCCTAACTGGAAGAAAATAGGGGCATGGTAAAGGAAATAGAAAAAAAAGTCTTGCCTAGGAAGCAAGTAGCAGTTAAGCCCAAAATCCCATTTCCCATTCTATATCCTGATGCCATCTTCGAGAGGATTCAAAGAACTGTATATTCGCCTCATCATAATCAAGGTCACTTTTTGTTTTCCATTCTTTAACTGGTACATACCATCTGGCTTTGCACTGCTTTGCTGATTTTCTATGCAGCAATGAGGCAATCCTGGACCACTGGTTTTTCCCATATTTCATTACTGCTGCTTTCAGAATTTCATCCTAAAAGAATTGTCAGAGAGAATACATTCAATCACAAAATCCAAAATGAGAAAAGACAACATTTAAATTAACTCTTGATTGAGGGGGAGAGGAACCTCAGGTTATAAAAAAATAAAGGTAAAAGGGGGACAGGGTGTTGGCTCTCGCCTATAACCCCAGCAACTCTGGAGGCAGAGGCAAGAGGATCACAAGTTCAAGGGAAGCCTTGGCAACTTAGCAAAACCCTGTCTCAAAATTTTAGAAACAGGCTGGGGATGTAGTTCAGGAAAAAAGCACACCTAGGTTCCATCCTCAATATGGGGGCGGAAATAAAGTACAAAAATAACAGCAGGCAAGAATAAAATAAAATTTAAAAACTAAGAAGAAATTCCTCAACAAACTGGAAATAGGAACAGCCCACTTTCAGCAACACTACTTCCTGACAGATTAGCAAAAGTATTCTCCATTGTAGCTCTTTCCCTTCAAAAAAGTTTAGTTCATTCATTTATACAATCATTCAAGAAGCATTTCCTAAATACCTACCTTGAAACAGGTCTGCGTATTGGGGAAAAGAGAATCAAACAAGATACATCTACAGCTCAAGAATAACTTGGGGGACTGGAGTTGTGGCTCAGTGGTAGAGCACTTGCCTAGCATGTATGAGGCACTGGGTTTGATTCTTAACACTGCATATAAATATACAAAATAAAGAAACAACCTGGGACTCTGGTCATGCACAGCACTGCCTCTCCAGTCCCTTAACATGCACAATGAGTCAAGAATTCACATCTCAAGTCCAACCTAAAAACTAAATATTTCTCTTCAACCCCACCAGTCAGCTCACCCAATACAAACATACAATAGTAGTCTCTAAATACTATTTTACCAAGGCACCCAATACAACATAGAATGCACCAATCCCTGGACAGCCTGGAAAGCGATGACGCAGACACCAGGGATGATGAAGCCACAGATTAATGCACTTGGGATATTTTACTTTGGGGATTTTTCCACATCAAACTTGAGCTACATGTCTTGTATTTGAATCTCTGTACTTCATTTCCCCTCCCATTATCAGAAGAGTTTTTAAAAGATTGCAGGGCTTTGGGACAGGATTGTGGCTCAGTGATACAGCACTTGCCTAGCATGTGTGAGGCACTGGGTTCGATCCCCAGAACCACGTAAAAATAAGAAATAAAGGTATTTATTTTTTAAAAAATTAAAAAAAGATTGCAGGGCTTTGACACTGCATAGAAATTGTGCTCTTAATTGATTCTGTATAAGTGTCTCTCCCTTAGAAGTAATGTCTTGGGGGTGGGGGGCCTAGGGCTGTGGCTCAGTGGTAAAGTACAAGCCTAACACGCATGAGGTACTGGGTTTGATCCTCAGCACCACATAAAAATAAAATAAAGATATTGTGTCCACCTACAACTAAAAAATAAATATATCTTTAAAAAAAGAAGTAATCTCTTCTCCAATTTAAACAGTATGGTTCCGTAACCACAAGCTGAATAAATTATCACTGCATTTACCTGTAACTTTGTTGAAGTACTGCTATACTTCAGCACATCTTCAATCAAATATATAAGCAGGTATCCATCCACCCTACTAGTCATTCCCAAACATCTGCCAAACAACCTATTCCATGTTGGCTATAATCCTAGGTCCTAAGTATACCAAGACCTGGTCCTTTTGCAATGCTGACTGGTGAGGGAAACAACTAGCACTTACTGAAAGACTACTATGTGCCTGATTCTGTTGTAAATACTCCCAATGTCTTAACCCATTTAATCCTCAAGAGCAGTAGGAATTATCTCCTTTAAAAAAAAAAATGAGGGCTGGGGATGTGGCTCAAGCGGTAGCACGCTCGCCTGGCATGCGTGCAGCCCGGGTTTGATCCTCAGAACCACATACCAACAAAGATGTTGTGTCTGCCAAGAACTAAAAAATAAATATTAAAAATTCTCTCTCTCCTCTCTCACTCTCTTAAAAAAATAAAAAATAAATAAAAAATTTAAAAAAAATGAGGAAACGGAGGTGGTAAGAGGTTAAGAAACTTATACATCATCGCACGGAAAGATATGATGCTTGCAAAAGAACAAAACAAACTATAATAAATGGACAAAAGAGGTACCCAAGACTCCTGGGATGCAACTAACTTTTACAGGGTGGATGAGCAAAGATTCCAAGATGAGTTTCTGAACTAGGTTTGAAGGATGGTCAGGAGGATGCCAAGCAGTAAAAACACATTCCGAGAAGGCACAAGAGGTAAACAGAGTGCCTGAAGATGCATTCTGGGAACTAGTAAATTCAGTGCAGTCTGAATGCAACCTGCACTAAAACTTAATTTCCATTTTACTCCAGGTTCTACTGCCCTTGGGCTCACCCAGGGCATTACCCACTACGTTTTTTGAAAGTAAAAACTGTGGCAGGTAGTTTGTTCTGCCTGGCTTCTATCCAGGCAAAGGCAAGAAAAACAGGAAGTTAAGAAAGAGCGAGACCTTGGGATCTGTCGGGAGGACAGACAGGTTATGCCTCGATAACAGATAAGCAAAGCGATGAGTGCATAAACGGGCTCTTCGAACGTGGCACTCAAGTTTCTTTCCCAGTGCAAGGGAGTCAATGAAAACCAAAGTTGTGACCACAGCAACTGTTTATTTTTGAGTCCCAGAGACGGAGGGGTTGCACCGACTGAGAGGGTGTTGCCCCAGAAATCAACTCTCGCTGACGTCCCATTTCCCCCGCTAGAGTTCCTCCAAAGGAGGAAGGGGGCGCGCCCTCAATTCAACAAACATTCACTAATGGCCCAATAGATGCCTCGCAGTGAGCTCAGAGCTTAGCGCCAGGTGGTTAAATCTCGATCCCTGTCCTGGAGGCGCTGAGATAACACACCGCCAGACAAGGTAAAAGCCCCGAGCTTCGGCTCTCGCGCAGAGGCCCCGCGCAGAGGCCCCGCGCAGAGGCCCCGCGCAGAGGCCCCGCGCAGACCCCGCAGGGCATCCTCCTCGCCTCCCAAACCTCCGCGCGCGTGCGCACAGCTGTCGGAGGGGGCGGAGGGCAGCGACCGGCGGGAAAAGGAGACTCACCTCGGTGTTCCTCCACACGCCCCCTTTGATCATAATTCGTGGCATCTTGGCGGCAGAGTGTCCCGGCAAGCGGCCGAGAGGAGCTTCCGAAAAGTAGTAACGGCGACTCGGTCACGAGACCCAGAGCCGCCACTTCCTCCAAACGCGACCTTCTGCTTTGAAGAGAATTGCGCAGGCGCAGGAGGGCGGGCCGAGTAGCCGGTCTCGCGAGATGTCGGTAGCTGAAGGGAAAGAAGAGCTCGGTGAAACCTTCAGGGTAGCAAGACTGACATAAAACCATCAAACTGCGGCAGCCGAAGCACCCTGCGCCGCGCGCATGTCCAAGACGGGGTCGGAAGAAACCAGGTTTCTCGCGAGATAGCAAAGGTGGAACTTGGCTAGGAACACAGAGGTGGCATTGGTCGTGACGTCACTCAGTGGCGGGGGTGGAAATGTCAGGAGATGGGTTTCAACCCAGTTGGTCCGCAGAGAGCTTTGTTAATTTATTACTGTAGCATTATATTAAGCATTTCTCTACTAGGAATTTATTCACAGAATGCTCGGGAAAAGGCTCAGTGTTCTAACCCGTAAAAATAGAGATAATGATGGGATCAATCTCATAGGATTATCCTAAGGATTAAATGAGATCATAAACCTGGCACAGTTATCTAATACATAACTGCACAAAAAAAGTGGCAGTGATTATTGCAAGGAGGGCAACGCCACTCACACCGTCCCACCTCTAGGAGATCCGTGGTTATCCCAGAAATCAACAGACATGTCCCATCAGAGCTTTTCATTCATCATTCATCAGTCTGTGTTGATTAATAAGAGTTGCTATTGATAAGCTCTGGCGTTAGACGAACTCTGGTTAAGTTGGAGTCTTGGCTCTTTTCAGCGTCCTCATCTGAAAAATCGAGCTAAGAATACCTACTTCACAAATTGGCGGCGGGGGGTGGGGGCGCACATTGAAATATAACTAAAAGCCAATGAGGTAGAGATTGTCAAGCTCTCTGCCATCCTAACTCCCAATAACACAGTCTTCTTCACTGTTTCAGAACATCTTTTTGGCACCAGCCCTGAAAGCTATGAAAATATTTAGTTAGTGAATCAAGAAACAGCTCTGAGTATTTATATAGTGGCTTTCTCTTTATATTTCTTTCTCCATTTTCCTCTTCTACAAGAGCTGGAAATTTAGGGGTTTTAGGTTTATGATAATTTTTTACCTAAATTTTATTGATGCAATGGTAGCTGAAGGGAAAGAAGAGCTAGGACACCCTCTAACCTAAGACACCCAGGAATTATCTACCAGTGTTTTGGACTATGGAGACTAAGATAGGAAGAAAGCAGGTCGCAGATATATTGAAAGGAGCAGAAGAAAGGTGTAGAGAGACTGAAGAGGACCCAGCCTTGTTAAGAGTCCCTGGATCTGTATGTTCCAGAGTCCCAGCTACATCCTTATTCTTGTGTTCTGATAATTAATTTGTTCCCCTTTTGATTTTAGCCAGTTGAAACTGGGTTTCTGTTACTTGTAAGCTAGAGTCCTAACAGAGTTAGGACCAGTCCTTTCTCTGAGCCCATTCATATCTAACATTCCAAGAGTCCACAATGGCTTCTTCTTCACACTTAGGACCACTAACTATACCATTGCCACTTTCCTGCCATCTAGAAAAGGGTGCCTCTTCCTCAAGACACTTTAATGTCACTTGCTAGGGGAAAAAAAGTTGTCACAAAATAGAGATGTTTTGAAAACAGACCACTCTACTTTAAGAAATTTAGATCTACCACGTGTATAATGTGAACAGGGCCTCTAGAGGCATATATCACAAAACCAACCCATCCAAACAGAGCAGCCCTGTCATCTATCCTCCAAAGCATTTTTGAGTGTGCAGATACTATGTCCCCTTTCAAGGTTCAGAAAGTTCTGGGATATCTGAAACCACAGCCCCATAGCCATAAACACCAGAAAATGAATATGTGGTCTTCAGGATGGCCTGAATTGGCCTGTCTCCTCTACCATATCACCCCAGACTCACCAGTGAGAATGAGAGCTCCCACAAAGATTCCATCTCCACCCCAAGGCAGGACAGCCAAAAGAAGCAACTGCCAACAGGCAGCCAGACTATAGTCATTAGGCCACATTGCAAAAATGAGTGACCGCATCATAACAGGTTTAATGAGAAACTAGCTGTACTTTTTCCTCACTCACCCAAGATACTGTTTCCGAAATGTCCCTCAGAACACTAGTCACATGAGATAACTCCATAAACATAAACATATTTTTCAGATTACTTGAGTTTCAGAAAAGCATCATGCTGCCTTCCCTCTTGTAGAATCACAAAAAGTAAAACCTGTAAGAAATTGTAAAATACATCTGATTCGATTTTTGAAATTTTTTCCCTAGACCCTATTGTGGGTTGAATTGTTTTCTCAAGAGATATGTTCAACCACCAGAGACTAAGAGAGAGGCATGGGTTACATCCTTTCCCTGAGCCTCCAAGAAGGAACCAACCCTGCTGACATCTTAATTTTATACTCTTAGCCTCCGGAATTATGAGAGAATAAATTTCTCTTGTTTTAAACTACTCAGTTTGTAGTACTTTGTTATGGCAGCCCTAAGAAGCTAATACACTCCTTTTTTTTTTTAATAAAGCATGTCCAAATTAATCTGACCTTACAAACCATTCTTTCTCATACCCAGGCATGCAAGAAACGCCATTTGGGAAATTCTGGCTCAAGAAAAAGCGGTTGGATGAGCCATCCAACTTATAAAGGGATTTTTTTTAGGCTGCATTGTCCCCCACTCTCCCACCCCTCATCATTTTCTGGGGATCTGGTTCTGAATGGGTTGACATTTACTTAACTAAGGAAAACATGAAAAATTCTAGTTTCCCTCTCATCCATTTTTTTCTTATATCACCAAAGATTCTACGAAGGAAAGAACTAAAATTAGAAGCAATAGTCAAGGCAATACCAAGCACAGTTGGGGGCAGGGTCAGTCACCCCTGAAATCTTCCTTCTCTCCCCCAAGTAAACATACAATTTAAAAATCTGTCCTGCCTCACAAACACAATTTCAAAAGAAAGTCCTCTAGCCCCACCCAAGTCTCAGATTACCATCCCTAAACCTCCCTCTAATGTCAATTAGCCAACTCTGGAAAAAGCTAACCCCTAGGTGTCAGGTTACTACAAAATGGGATTTCGTGCACCATGATCCTGGTAATTCGTATCATATTACTCAACATGGTTAATCACCTAAACTGGCTTGAGTTTCATCTGTTGACTCTTCCCTTATGGTGGGTCCAATTATAATTTGTAATTTTTTCACATCTTTTTTTTTTTTTTTGATACTAGGGATTGAACTCATGGGCTCTCAACCACTGAGCCACATCCTCAGCCCTATTTTGTATTTTATTTCGAGACAGGATTCACTGAGTTGCTTAGCGCCTCACTGTTGCTGAGACTGGCTCCTTTCTCAGCCTCCAGAGCCACTGGGATTACAGGAATATGCCACCACACCAGCTTTATGTGGGTCTCATTTCTAGGGATCCCCTGTGCCCTGAAGTGGAGAAGTGCTCCCAAAGAGAATTTGCTTTTCCTCAGGTCTCTGAGGTTCAAAGGTCAATTCGAGCTCATTGCTCAGTTTGGGATCAACATTCTAATTGGGTAATGAATATATAGACCCCAAATCCACATGGCACAGTTTTCACAGAAGTGTTTGTTTTTCACATGCATATATCCAGACCCCAATTTATATGCCTAACTACAACTTGGGCAGTTCCACTTGTGTGTATCACAGGCCCCTCAAAATCAACTCGCCCAATGCTGACCTTCTCCCAGAAAACCTGTACTTCCCCAGGATTCCTTATTTCAGGGAAGAGCACAGGGTGACCACATTTGGTTGTATAAAAAGTTCACTGCACAATGAGCAAATAGGGACTGAAATCCAGCTTGCACACAGCTCACCCAGGTGCATATTTACCAGCTGTTTCTTTTGGAAGAATGTTTTTCTCAAGCTATGTAAAGATGCCACATGAGCTAGAGGTGGCCCTGGAAACAGCACCACCATCCCCCAATGGCCACTTTTCCTCCTGCCATATCTCTTTCCCTCCTGAAGCCAAGCTATCCTCCAGTCTTACCACTTTCCCCCCAACTTCGTCCTCCAAATGCATCTATTTCTACCACCTCCCTATACCTTGCCACAAATGGCAAACAGAAATACAGAACTCTCGGTTCAGTTTGAATTTCAGATAAAGAATTGCTAGTATTATCTGTGTCTAGGGTATCTAATTTATCTAAGTATCTAAGGTATCTAGTCTATCCTCTTTTTTAACAGAACTCTCCATTTTTATGTCATGCTCATGCTGTGCCCAGCCAAAAAGGCATATTTGTAACCAGGTGATCATCCCCACACTTACTTCTTCCACTGGGAGCTTGGTTCCATCAGCTGTCCCTGTACCTTCTCTACATTTGGTGGAGGCAGACACAATTCCTCAGAAAACAAGGTGTTGTAATATTTGGCTGCTTATTTGGTATGAAGCTGTATTCCTTCATGCAAAACCTAGAAATGCTTGCTTTTCATTGAGTTAGTCTTACAAAATCCAGGTTTAGGAGTCTCAGTGTTAGCTCTCAAAGCAGCAGTGGCCTCTCTGCTCCTCAAGGAGGCATCAGGCCATAGTTCTTTCTAGAACTTCCTAGTATTGGTAGGACACCAGTCATCTCAAAGGATTCCCTTTTCCTTTCCTAGAGTTCACTGGGAACTTAGACCATAGACCCCCTAAAAATTGTACTATCCCTCATCTGGCACATTGCTCAGTCCTGAGTGAAGATATTTATATATCAAGCTTCTCTCTCTCTCTCTCTCTCTCTCTCTCTCTCTCTCCCTCTCGATGTTCCAGCCAGAAAAGAAAAGCATCTCTAGGCTGATACATGATCTTCAGGGATTCTAACTCAAAAATACAAAGTCAAGTTCTATAAGCAATGCTTTCACCTATCTAGTTTTTGAAAGTCAAATATATAGGGGCCAAAGGAAACAGTCTAACCAAACCAAATTCCTCATGTTAGAAGTGTGGACAATTAGTGGAATCCTACAGAATATTCATAAATGCTTTGTGGAATTTTAGAAATTTAACACCTGCTACGGTTGAAATATGGCTTTTCCACTAAAAATTAATGTGCTGGAGGGTTAGTCCCTTACACGATGGAATTGAAAAGTGATGGGACCTTCAAGAGCTGGAGCTTCATAGGAGGTGTTGCAGGGTGTAGCTGTCCATGCTCAAAGGCTAAAGCTGG